TTCACCTATAAAGTACTTACCAAACATCTGCGATATTTGTTTATGAAAAAGTTCTAATGTAGTGTTGTGAATTGTGTAAATATATGCTGTGTTATGTATATTTAAATTTATTTAATATTGTTGTTATAATGTATTAGGAATATATATATATATATATATATATATATATATATATATATATATATATATATATATATATATATTACAATGAATCATTCATACAAAAGTAAATTAGTAAAGTTAATGATATAAAATGGCGAAATCCTCTCGCTAACAAAATTCTAAAGATGCATTAATCTACTAATCACTCGATGAATGTTTAAAATTTTCTTAGCAAAGGGATTTCTCCATTTTATATCATTAACTTTACTAATTTACTTTTTGTATGAATGATTCATTGTAATATAAATTGAACTGCACCACATATTTGATATATATATATATGTGTGTGTGTGTGTGTGTATGCATGTATGTATGTGTGTGTGTATGCACACACATGAATATTTGTCTGTTAATGATTGTGAGTGTGTGTGTGAATGTATATACTTATAAATTGAAGTATTCCAGTCTTGGCCCCACATTAAAGTGATTTCTCTTAGAAATGGTAACGATAAACTACAACCTCATAATTTTTGATGATGTCTCTTGTCAGCATCCAGTTCTGGTAACTTCATCATCATTCAACTTTGAGATAAGCTGAGTACCTACAGGCTCAAGTTCTTAAGAGCTCTCACCACCAAAGCTCATCTTTAAAGAATTCCCACCAGACCAATCATTCCTGGGTCAACAGGGTCAATTGTCTGTTCTTTGTCCTCTCAAGATTTTCATAAGTTGGCCAATTCTTAACAGAATTATTATTGAATATCTGACTCAAGTGCTTTATGGAGTTTGCACTAATCAGTTGGCTTCTGGGAACACAAAATTTGCAAGCCTTCAGTTGTCAGAAAATAGCATGACATTTTAGGGGTTTAGTTTCTTTTTTTGTCTGTGCGTGTATAAGTATGCATGTGTGTACTTCAACAGCAACTGTATTTTACACCTTTATTTTCCTCAGTACTTTTGTTATATATATATTTCATAATTTTCTGCGCCGTATAGAATTTTATTATAGCAATAAAAAAGGTTAGACTAATTTTACTTTTCATTATTCAAAAGATAGTGAAAAATAAAACAAACACAGCTGGCTGGTTTCGACTTCACTCAACAAAGACGGATTGAGAGATTATATATTGCAATAAAATAATAATAATAAAACATAAAAACGATATGTAATATTATTAAAGGCAGAATAAATTGAGATCACGTTATGACATTTCGTTTACAGAGAGAGTGTCTGTTAGGACTTAACATATACCTAGAAAAATCAGGAATGGAACATTCCAATTAAAGGACGTTCTGAACAACACCTATGGTCCCTCTATCAAGGAGCATCTTATTAAAAAGCCAAATTGTGTCGTTAACTTTAGCATTGACTCTTTTACCATCTTGTGTCGTGATCGCTCTGTATTGCATATAAAGATGTTGAAAAAAAAATATGTTCAGTCCAGGCAGCCCTTCCTCTGTAAACAGAAGGAGTGTCTTTAGTGATTTCAATTTAAACTGTATTCCGCCTTCATTAATATTACATATTGTTTGTATGTCTTATTATTTTATTGCAATATATAATCCTTCGATACAGCTCTGTTAAGTGAGGGTGAAACTAGTTGGCTATGCTTGTTTTATTTTTTCACTATATTTTTAGTCATGAAAAGTAAAATTAGTCTAACCTTTTATATATATATATATATATATATATATATATATATATATATATATATATATATATATATATAAGATGATTGAAATGTAACTCACTATTTTATATATGAGTGGCCAGCCAAGATTCCTGATTTAACACCCTGTGACTTTTTTTCTTTGAGGTCGGTTAAAGGAGCAAGTCTACTCTACCAAACCAAGATTTGGAAGAGCTTGAAGGGCGAATACAGGAAGTTATGTCTTCCATGCCACAAGAGTTCTTGGTGAAATCAGTTGATGCGATTCCCAGGAAGATTGGGAAGCTGGTAGCGAAATCTCGTGCCCATATCGAATTTTAACTAAAACCTTATGCTAAATGCTTTCCTCTCATATCAATTTCTTGTAAAAATTATAGTTAATAAATAAATTAGAAGTATTTTTAAATGAGGATTTTTCAATTTCTATATATACACACCATTGTGCAAATTAATTGAAAGAAAAGGAATAATTCCGTTATTATTTACTTTTTTTCGTATTTTTCCAATGAAACAGTGCACATAAACATTTTCCAGTGCACATGTTAGTACTTTGTATGTCCATTCCACAAAGTCGTTCCTTGCAGATTGACCACAGATTCCCCATTGGATTTAAATCAGGAGAGTTTCCTGGTCAATCTATAGTACTTTGATTTACTCACTAGCAAGGCTTGCCATTGTGTTTGTGCAGCGTTACAATTTTCATACGCTTCCTTGGAGTAAAGTCCAATGACCGCAGGACAACTAATCGATAGTCAAGACAATAGTGTCTGGGAGTGATGAAAATCTGATGCAATCACAGATTGCCCTATATTTTTCAAGGCCAAACAAATTTCATCATACACCTCGAAAATAGATTCAGATTACTACACACCATTGCAAATGGCCTAATCCGAGGAAAAAATAGAAATCGATTACACCCTGTCACTTCAGTGGGTCTAAAACTGACTGTAAGGTGAAAGAAAGGAAACTAAAGTGGCTCTTTCAATTAATTTGCACAAGGGTGTATGTAGACTGTGTAGACATAGAAATCAATACAAATTGGTGACTTTCAGCTTCACACCATGATTGATCTTCAGATCACGTCAGAAGATTGACTGGAATTAAATTGACACCATGCATGCCATTGTGAAACTGACAGTCACCATGGAGTGTTGATTTCTCGCTATTTATATCTGAAAATGCTCTGTCTCTAATATTGAGCACTCTTGCCATATAAACAAAGCAAATTGTAAACAATATCTATATCTATAACTATACATATGTACCTATAGTAAAAGTAATAAATCCGTTGGTAGATAATCCAAGTGGATCCTAGTAAAATCAAATTTTAAAACTGATCCACAAAAAGAGCTCAATGTATTTATTATTATTATGTTGCCTACATCTGCAAATCCTCTGTCTCCAATATTGAGCACTCTTGTCTCATAAACAAAGCAAAATGTAAACAATACTTACATATCTATATCTAAAACTAGTTAAACCTAGAGATCCAGACAAACCTAGAGAGCTGGCTAGAGGTGTCTCTCTAGGTTTAACTAGGTCTGATCTACTTAAGTTATTTTGCTTACTCGTATCGGGTTTTTTTTTCTTTTGACTTTGAACTTGCATGCTAGACGATTATTTTCGGCTAACGTACATGTTCTTGGTTCTTTCTTTTTTTATACCGTTTTTTCCTCTTTGGTATTGGTTTGATTATTCGCAAATCAAAACACCGAAGGTTTTCCGGACGAGTATAATTTCTTATACTTATAAGATTATTACTACTACTAATATCTATAACTATATATATCTACTTATAGTAAAGCTAATAAATCCGTTGGTATATAAACCAAGTGGATACTAGTAATATAAAATATTAAAACTGACCACAAAAGAGCTTAATGTATTTATTATTACAGAGCAAGTAATGAGTACACAATAAAATTCAAAATTATCTCATATTGGAAATAGACCTCTTTCAACCGATGAAAACTTCTTCAGTTTTATTTAACCCCGGTATAGATTGAGTTCATGTTGGAATTAGAAATTTAAATGTGACAGCTGTTGAAAAATTAATACAGAATTTATCCATTTCAATGTTTCAGTCAGACGAAAGGCACAAGTCAGTAGCTAGGGGAGGGTAGAAGGTATTAGCCTTAAAAGGAAGAGGTTTCATAAAATTAAAACCGGTTATTAATCTTATAACATTAAATTGGGGTTATATAAATATTACTTATATATATATATATATATATTCAAAGTTGGTATCTATGCTGATGATACAACTTTTGTCTCCATTGTAAGTCTGATGAAATCTGATTGGCAGCTGATTTCAAAAATGACCTTCAATCTACTGTTAACTAAGGCAAGAAAAAGTATTTCAATATTGACATCTCCACATCAATACTGCTCTCTTTTAATCATCTAGAGAAGCATTTTTGCCTTTTATCAGTATGGCTGATGCTAACCTCCGAGTGAACAACTCAGTAAGTCCTCTCCATCACACATTTTAAAATGACATGAAGCAGAATGATTATATTGAATCAATTCATGCATTTGTGCAATGACTAATGCTGCCACATCTGGTCTTGTGCTTCTGCTATATGTTAATAGATTCTTGACAAAATTCAAAGAATCTGCAACATTATTGTTCCTGACCTGGCATCTTGGCTTCAATCAGTTTGCCAACACCATAACGTAGCTTCCTTTTCTATAAATATTTTTGTGGTAATTTTTCTGATGAGTTTTTCCTTTTGATACAATGACTTTGCAAATTTAGATGCAGTACTAGATTGGCAGCTAGGTCTCATCATTTTGCTGTTGAAATCATCCTCATCTGTTTCCTTGAATCCCATTTAATTATTGTCTTCACTGTTCTTCTTCCTCTTTGTAGCCTCTTCAGAGTTAGTGGCTTTTATTGCCTTGCTTGGGGGTGAAATGATAAAAGAATGTGTAAGTGGAAAGTTTAGCACTCAAGATACTTGAGTAACCCAACTGTCATGCCTACATCAAATCAATCTACAATGAACAGAACATTCTTTCATTCTTGACTTGTAATAATTTGATATCAGGAGATAATCATGTTGGTCATTATACAACAGCATATTGACGAGTACTGTTGATGCATGTGCATAGAGACAGAGTTTTTCAGTTGTAGCTTGATTAGATTGCCATTAGATGCTTAAATTCTTCTACTGAATATTGTATCTGAAACTTGCATGTATACAATATGAACTAGATGAACTATAGTTACCACTGATATCTATCTATCTATCTATCTATCTATCTATCTATCTATCTATCTATCTATCTCAATCCATTTCTCTCTCTCTTTCTCTCTTTATCTGTATGTCTCAGTCTGTTTGTATCTATCTATCTATCTATCTATCTATCTATCTATCTATCTATCTCAATACACTTCTCTCTCTCTCTCTCTCTCTCACTCTCTATCTATCTATGGAGGCCCCTCTCAAAATAATGCAGCCTGTCTGTTCATATCTGTCTATCTACCTATTTATCTATCTAAAATAACCCATTTGTCTGTCTCTCACTATCTGTATGTCTCCTGTTTCTATCTATCTATCTATCTATCTATTTATCTATCTATCTATCTATCTATCTCAATCCATTGTCTCCTATTATTATCTATCTATCTATCTTTATCAAATAATCTATCTATCTGTTCATATCTATCTATCTCAATCCATTTCTCTCTCTCTCTATTCTCTCTATCTATCTTTGGAAGCCTCTCTCCAAATAATGCAGCCTGTTTGTTCATATGTATCTATCTCAATCCATCTATCTATCTATCTATCTATCTATCTATCTATCTATCTATCTCAATCCATTTCTCTCTCTTTCTCTCTTTATCTGTATCTATCTATCTATCTATCTATCTATCTATCTATCTATCTATCTATCTCAATTTCTCTCTCTCTCTCACTCTCTATCTGTATTCTCAAAATAATGCAGCCTGTTTGTTCTATCTGCTATCTATTTATCTATCTATATATTAACCCATTTCTCTGTCTCTCACTATCTGTATCTCCTGTTTTATCTATCTATCTATATATCTATCTATCTATCTATCTATCTATCTATCTATCTCAATCCATTTCTCTCTCTCTCTATTATTATCTATCTTTGGAAGCCTTTTCCAAATAATCAGCCTCTCTGTTCATATGTATCTATCTCAATATCTCTCTATCTCTATCTATCTATCTATCTATCTATCTCAATCCATTTCTCTCTCACTCGCTATCTGGCCTCCGTTTGTTCTCATTAAAGTTGTTAGATACGTTGTATGTATGTTTCATGTATCTATCTATCTATCTATCTATCTATCTATCTATGGAACCCATCTCAAAATAATGCAGTGTGGTTATATCTATCTATCTATCTATCTATCTATCTATCTATCTATCTATCTATCTATCTATCTATAAAGGCCCCTCTCAAAATAAAGCATCTTGTCTGTTCATATCTATCTATCTATCTATCTATCTATCTATCTATCTATCTATAAAGGCCCCTCTCAAAATAAAGCATCTTGTCTGTTCATATCTATCTATCTATCTATCTATCTATCTATCTATCTATCTATCTATCTATCTTTTATTACTATAGATGTTATTTTTAATAGGTACACGTTTTTGAGTTGCTATCCCTGCTTTTTGTTTATATTCTTAGTGAAATTAATGAAAACTTGCATAAATTAAGAATTCCTACAAATAGTGCATCTGACAGCTACCAAACCTGTATACCTTTCCCTCATCTGGGAAATCACTTTTTTTTTTTAATGAAAAGAGGTTTTTGTTTGATATAAAATTAATTAAATTATAGAATATCTTCTAATAATGTGTCTGCTATAAGTTGAATCAAATTTATTTGTTTTATTAAATCTTAATTTATATAGATTTTTAAAGTTTTTCTCCACTATCACTACAAAATGAAAACTTATTCAAGCAACAAAATACAAGAAGTTGTGGAAGGAAAATGTCACATAAAAGTTGATAGAAATGTTTTCAAAAGAGGAAAATATGGATTGGTAGTGGTGAGAAATTATACATGTAACTGACAGGATGGTGCTATTATATAAAAAATTACAACACACCACTTACTCTGTATTTGATATTATGAAGTTTACTTCTGTGCACTTCTAATTAAACATGTCTTTATACACAGAAACACAACTGTCATTTTTTTCTATATTTGTTGGCCGTTTATGAAGTGAAAATAAATTCTGGAAAATACCAAACAAAAACTTTTACAACTCAAATTTCTCATGCTATAAAGTTTATTTTTTCTCTTTTTTTCCTATTCAGTGAGTTTTTTCTGTTTTTCTCTTTTTCTTGGGTTTATTTTGCAGACTATTTCCTTGCATTGTCACACTTTTTATATTTATCTTATGTATCCATTCAATATAATGATTTCTTTAACTGATCAATAAATGTCTGCACTTATAATCTTTCCAAGTTCTAATAGCTCATATATATATATATATATATATATATATGCAAATACAAGTTTCGTATAGATGGAATAAAATTCCAGTAACCAAAAACAGTATTTTTAAAAAAATGCTCAATATAAAGTAAAGCGAATAATATTTATTTAAAAATTATAACAAGTATATTATAACATCACTAAAAAAATAACCATTTTGCTTCAACACTTCTTGCTAAGTGATGATGTTGACTGTAAAAGAAAAAGTTTTTAAATAGTTTAAAACCAACCACTACCCCCACTAGGGGGAATATTTTTACATAAGGCATAATGGCCAATCAAATTACAAGTATATGATAATTCAAATAACACGATTACATATCCTAGATACAATTTATTAATGATTTAAAAATTAATATTCAATCAAACAGGAAATCAGGATAACTAATTAATCTCCAATTTATTATGTAATTACGAATATTAAACTCTAAGTATAACAATGCATCAAACTTACAAAATTATTCAAAGAGAAAAATGGTGAAAATATGCCTAAATTTTCATGTATTGTCCTTAGTAATATGTTAAGTTTTCCGTCCGAATCTGAGCAAAAGTAAGAGGTGCAATATGTGACTACAAAATTAGTTACATTGACAGGGTTCTTATTAGAGATTTAGTGGACAAGGGAGAAAGGTTTATTGGTGACAAGACAGACATCATGTCATAATACGCAAACACGTAAATATGATTGAATATATGAGCATGCAAATACACAAATGACAGATAAAGAGATTTATCAAGATTCAATCTTCCAAGTAACTACAGAGACAACACAAACTACCCGTCAAAACTGCATAAACAAGAAAAATCAATATGCAAATAAACTAGGGAGGTGTGGTAGAAGATGAAGAGGAGGAGGAGGAGGAAAAGGAGGAGGAGGAGGGGGAAAATCAAGTATATTGGTAATGTATCAGTGGGGGATTAAATGAAATATATATACATTCTTTTTATCCCACTTCAAATGAACTCAAAAGGTACTTTTTAGTATAAATACAATGGGACATAATTTCTGATCTTTGGTTTAAAAGTTTTTGGGGTCTGGAAATGTCATTATAGCTAATTACTCTTCTCTCTCTCTCTATATATATATATCTATATCTATATATATATATATATATATATATATATATATATATAAAGGTAATAAACCCATTGGTATATAATCCAAGCTGCCACAGTTAAATTTCTAATTCTGACACAAACTTGGTCTATACTGGGGTTGAATATGACTGACGAATTTCATTGGTTGAAATAAGCTTATTCCATATATGAGGTGATTTTGGATTTTACTGTATACTAACTATATATATATATATATATATATATATATATATATATATATATGGTTATCATGGTTATCTTTTGGCTCATATAGCCTTCCTCTGGAGCATAGGACCATTCCTTTTTTTTTTTTTGCTCAAACCTGGATTTTCCTGCCAGAAAAATATTCTTTGAGTTGAACTGCCTTACATGTATAAAGATCTTCAACTGCCTTGCTATTTACCCATAGGTGGCAGAAAATTGAATTTTTGCCTTTCCCAAGGGTATTAGTTCAAAGTGAATACAGACAGTCCTGACTGGAAATGTGAAATCAAATCTCCAGATATACAATGTGTGCGTGTGTGCTTTAAGGTATGAATATGGGGTTACTGATATAATAGTGGTAATTTGCTAGCAAAACCATGACACTCGAAAAATCTTAAATAAATTTTCAGATTAAGAACTACGTGGTTTATCATTCTTATCTTATGTGTGAAATTAAATCCTGATTTTGATTTGTAAGAAATTCAAATGAATTTATTTTTAAAGTGGGCATCTTTTTAATGTCACGCAATGAATCATAGTCAAGATTTCAAACTCCTGTAACTGAATATATATTTATTATTGTAAATAAAATAATTACGGCACATGGACAAAAATTCCTGTAACTGAGTAATTGTGAACTTTAAGCTTCTATAAGTTTAAAGCTTAAACAATATGATGTCAAAGGCTTTCAAGAAAAATCAAATATAATTCCAAATTGTTAATAATCAAAATGAAAAATGCTTAACACTATTTACATTATTCGGACTATTGTCCTATCTTTGTCGCCATATTTATTACAATGTTTCAGCTGTTGTATGCTCCAGCCTTCTTCAGGTGGTTGGAATGTCGAAATTGAACCATTTATTTTGCTCATTGGGGTAGACTGTTCTAGTTCCATGTGGCATGTTTAATAGATGTCAGTTATCGCCTGTTAATTCCCCTCTCTAAGTTCTCCACTGCCTTATCTGGCTACATGCAATGATAACAGCAAAAATTGCAATATGAGCACTGGTAAAAAATGTTGCTGAGACATTAGGTTTATAATACCCAGAAATTCATATACAGATGTCTTCAAGGACACATGGCACAATGGATAAAGGCGTTGATTAGATCCAGTGAGTTCAAAACCCGGTTAAGGCAGTGGAGAACTTGGAGAGGGGAATTAACAGGAGATAACTGATATTAGACATGTCTAGAACAGTCTGCCCCAGTGAGCAAAATAAAGGGTTCAGTTCGACATTCCAACCACCTGAAGAAGGATGGAGTGTACAACGGCTGAAACGTTGTAATAAATATTGTGACAATGATGAGGACAGTAGTCCGAATAATGTAGATAGTGTACATAATACCTCAACTCAGAAATATAGACACTAAAAAGTTGTTTGCCATTATTTTATTTCTTTTCCATCATGAACTTAACTGAATATAACATTTATATGCAAAACAATGTTATTAATTTACAAAGCTGAAACGATACAGAATCCACTTCTCCATTGTTGTTCTTTTAATACAAAGAAAGATTATGCAAAATAAAGAAAATGAATTGATCTTTTCCTTCTTTTTGTTATGTTTTTATGCAGATTATCTCTGAGATTTTATGTCAAGGTTTTACCATCTTTTTGAAGCAAAGAAAAAAAAGACTTAATGACCAAGGACAAAAAAAAAATGGCTTTCTGCTCAGGCAAGATTTGTTTCCTTTGAATTGGTATTTTCTTTCATATTTACAAAATTGTTTGACACATCTGCCATAGGTCAAGCACTAAAAGTCACTCTCCAAAATCAACTGATCACTTGTGATGTGCTGGGGGTCACTTTCTGACAGTTTCTCAACTTCAAAAAGGTCAAAAGTGTTCGAAAGAGTCAAAAGATTGATTTATTTTCCTCCCTTTTTTACTTAAAAAGTGGAAAAACAAAGTTATTCTTAAATGATATTTTTTAATGCAGTTAATATACTGAAAATAATTTGACAAACTTGGACCTTTGTGCTCACAAAAAAAATAAAAAAAATGAGGTGTCAAGAGGACAGTTTTTCTTTTGACACTGATCTTGATTAATATTTTTGTTGTAAATTCTCAAGAACAAAAACAAAAATTGATAAATTCACTTTCATCATATGCTTAGATCTTATTACAATTGTAAGTATCACTTTTTGAAACAATAAACATTACTGAGGAGTGAAGGTAGTTAAAATAATAGTAGTCAAATAATG